ATACTTATGTAGTTGTAAGTTTTTAACATTTTTTGAAATATCAAAAATTCTTAGCATGCCTAAAAGAAAAAATGTAGCCTCCAGGTATTCTTGACCATTTCCTAATCTATGAACACCCCAAGCTTTTCAACATCTGAGCCCTTATTTATCTTTCCCACTCTGTGGTTTTCTAAATTCCTTTGCAATGCAGAATTAAATAACAAAAATAAGTGCCTAGATTATATTACCTTAAACCTCTACAAAAATGCCTTCACCCAGGCAAAATATAAGACCATGCCTTTGGCTTTCACAAAATCATAATATAAGAAACATCAACTATAAGAATGCTTCTATATATTCTGCTAAATCAAATCAAAGGCATTACTACTATGCTAATGTTCTCTGTATGACAGCCTGTAATAAATAACCTTGAAAAGTCAGTGCCTGGAAAGAACTATTTTTTTCTGATAAATTGCTATACTTCTTGTATGCTAACACTAGGGACAATGCAATCAAATATGTATTCTTTTTCACCTTGGTTGCCCAGAAGATAAACTAAATTTGTTTCACAGTGGCAATAAGTAGCCTATCCCTAATACATATTTTTCTCTCCCTTTTATTTCAAAGTTGTCATTTTTTTTTACATCATGTTTTTAGGCATGTCACAGTAAGAGTTATCTTCAATGTATTTCGAAATATGTTTAAATATGTTTTAAATATAGTAGGCAGAATTAATATATTAACCCTGTATTCTATAAACTATTCCATGTTAAATTACAAAAACAGAAATGGCGTGGCCTACAGCATCATGAGAATGTGCAGACAAACCAGCTGGTGATCTTATTAAAGTGTAGGCTCTGCTTCAGAAGGTCTGGGGTGGAGCCAGAGGTTCCACATTTCTAGCTGACTCCCACATACGGTAGCACCTTTGATCCCAGACCACACTTCGAGGAGGCAGGGCCTAAACATTCAGTGCACGCATGAATGAAAAGTCAGTACGGGAAGAATAATGAGTAAAATGCAGCCAGAAGGGATAACTCTCAAAATGGTGGGAACCACCAACTAGAGCAAATGGGACAGACAAATGTCTGCTCCAATCTTTAAAAATCAAATGTCCTAAATCCAATGTCAATATTAATTTAATTTTTAGTAACAAATGTCCAGCTTATGTTTTTCTAAGAAGTTGATTCTGGCTCATGTGTTAGACATTCTACCATATACATTTGAATAAAGTTCTGGTTCATATATTTCAAAAGGCCGTGTCATTTTTAATGTTCTAGGAGGAGACAGGACAAGAAAAGAACACTCAGTGAACATTTGGTAAGAAAAAGCTTCTATTTGTTCAAATGTTTAAAAACACCTATTATACTCCATCACTACTTTGAGGACTCAACATGCATCTGCTTTTTTCTTGTAACATACTTAGGCTGGTTTTATTCTGATTGCTCATTTTTATCATCTTTGGGGGCAACTGTTATATAACATGGGGGGGGCAATTATCCTTTAACTAGTGATCAGTGAATGAATCTGTATCATTTAAAGAAAATTCATCAGCTGTAATATTGGTTAAGGAGGTATTTGAGTACCAGTTAGTTTAAATCTTCTTTCTTTCCAGCTTATTTCCAGTTAAGGGTATTCCTTCTCCTGGCATGGCATGTTGCATAGTGATAGTCTCCAAAATACGTTACAGTAAAGCAACGACCTAGTTTTTCCAATGTTGTTCAGATTTTATAGAGTCTCATATTGCCCATTGTTACATGTATGTCTCCTCTGCACAGTTTCATAGATGCAGTAGGCAAAAACCTGCATTTTGGTTAAAGCTCAAATTAACCAATTACCTAATATACATAAAGAACTAGATGAGTCAATGCATAAGTACAACAATACTTAAGATTTTTTTCTAGGTCAGAGGATATAAAGTCCCATGTACTAGCTTTCTACTGCTGCTGTAACAAATTACCATACATTTAGTGACTTAAACAACACACATTTGTTATTTTACAGTTATGGAGGGCAGAAGTCTAAAATGGGTCTCACCAGGTGAAAACCAAGGTTTCAGAATGGCTGGTGTGGCTCAGTGGATTGAGCGTCATCCCATGCACCAAGAGGTCATCGGTTCGATTCTCAGTCAGGGCACATGCCCAGGTTGCAGGCTTGAGCCCCACTGGGGGTGTGCAGGAGGCAGCTGATTAATGATTCTCACATCAGTGGTTTCTATCTCTCTTTCCCTCTCCCTTCCACTCTCTCTAAAAAAATAAATAAATAAAATTATACTTTAAAAAAATAATAGAACCAAGGTGTCAGCAGGGCTGCATTCCTTCTGGAGGCTCCAGGGCAGAATTTATTCCCTTGTCCCTTCCAGCTTCCAGACACCTCCCACGTTTCTTGGCTGCTGGTCCCTTCCTTCATCTTCAAGGCCAGCAATGTTGCATCTCTCTGTAACTTTCTTCAGCAGTCATATCTTCTTCCAACTGATTCCTCTTATGCCTCCCTTCACTTTTAAAAACCTTTGTGATTTACTTAGGGACCACCTTGATAATCTCCCTATTTTAACCTCAGCAATTATCAACCTTAACTCTCCTTTGCCATGTAACCTAATACAGTCACAGATTCCCAGGATTAGGGAATCCCTAATATATATATATATATATATATATATATATATATATATGTATATAATTTATATTTTTTAAATCACTAATATACATATATAGAATTAAATATATATTGTAATAATATATAGATCAGTTTGCATGAGTGTTTCTGTGAATATATTCTACATATACTTTCTCATAAGAACTCTTGATTGAAGAGAATTATTATATTTCTATCTGAATCACAGAGAGTAAGAAATATGAATGACTGGATGAAGGCCTTATACAAACTGAATCTAATATGAAACCAAATAAAAGTTTCAAATTTGAATTTAGGCCTGAATTCTGATAGACAAAATTATATTTGTGATGATCATTATTTGCAACAGACAAGTCCAATTATCAAAGGCTAAAATATAAACTGTATGACAGTTTAAGTAGAGCCAAACTGGCTCTACTACAGTTTCCTGTCACACAGAGGTTATTGAGAAGTATATTGTTTTATGTGTTTTGTTTTTCAATACACAGTAAGCAATGCTAATGCGACAAGCAGTCATCTCTCAAGGATTAACCAACATTGTCAATTCCTATCCCTGTCACCTGCTGACCCCCTCCTCTGCTCCCCTCCACACTATAGCTAATGCAAAGGTGCTTCTGAGAACTGTAATGGCTCCGCTGGGGTCTCCGTGAGTATTTCAGCTCAACACTGCTCCTTGGTGGTGCTGAAATGGGCCTGCTCTAGAAGAGATATGATTGAGGAAGGGAATACTATAGTAATCTAAGAGGAATTTTGTTTACATAGCCCCTAAAAGAATTCTGAAAATCTAGGCACATATTTTTAAATGACATCTGACCATTTTAATATAAGTTGAAACACTTGACAAGGGGACGTGATTTCAAACACTCTGCTCTGTATTTATCAGAACCTCAGGGCTGTAGTTTCACTCATTCAATCTATGACAAATGTATGCTATACAGCATAATTGGCAGAGCCAACCCTCATTGAGGAGCCAATCAACCCAAAACACCTTCCTGTCAAAGCAAGTATGACTTCATTTTTCAACCAAATGTGAAGACAGTCTTGGTGACAATCATCTATCTTCTGAATGCTAAAAGGAACAGGTAAATACAGCACAGAGCCTTGTCATGTGCTCATTCCTTGGATGAATGGGGAATAAGAAAAAAAGAACTGGCAGGCATCGCCCATACTCAGTGAGAGATCAATGTCAAGAAAGACATGGAAGTTGAAGATCTGGAAAATGAAACCCTTGAAGCCCTGGGAAGGGTTTCTGTGCTATAGGATACGAGCACAGTTTGGAGACTGCTGGGAGAAAAGAACTTAAATTCCTTTCTGAATGTATCTAGTGTGATACAAATATAAGGTGTTTTTTCTAAACAAAAACCCAGTGACTACATTTCTTCGAAGGATTCCATGCCTTCGGAAATATCTTAAAGTAGGTATCAAGTTCTCTTCATCAAAATGGAGGGTCAATAATAGAGATGATAATCTTGCTTGTGTAGCCAACCTCGTGTATAATCTTGGACAGACGTTCTGGCATATTCAAGGAATTGGTTCTACATTTTCTGTAGTCCTTAGCATTGGTTGCTTTTGTTTGAACCCTCTGCCCATACTTGATCATTTTTAGGCGGTATTGGAAGAGTAAATTAGTCCCCTTTCATTCTGAATTTCCTAGGTTTCACCTCATTCTAGGGCCTCATGTTCATGTTCTGAGTCTCTGGCCCTTTTAGCTGCCTGAAGTGGATACAGTACGTATAAAAAAACGAAAACAAACAAAAACTGCAATTGCCAAAGCTGTTATGTTGTGCCAAAAGAGGAGCTGCTTGTGCAACCTAAGGAAGAGTGTAAGGTCACAACGCAAGTGCATTTTGAAAATCTCTTTCCTCTGATGTTTCTGGGCAACAGGATAGTTGTGAGGAAATTACTGACAATGAGCAAAAGACAACTTTATTAGACGATTTCTCTTCTTTGTGTGAGGGATTCTGGTCCTTTCAGAGGAAGCTCCAAGTGATTCGACAGTACCCACTTTCCACAGTTGCTGCAACTTGATCCCTCGATGGGTGCTGTGGGGAAGCACCTTGGGCGAATGAATGGGTCTGAAGCCCCTCGTGATCAAGGTCGTCCGATCCATTTACTAAGTTGAGAATCTTTCCATGTCACCTCTTAGAAGCTGGTCTGTGTTCCCCTCCAAATAGCCCACCACCTGGCTGCACCCCACCTCCACGAGTGCCCCAGCAACCAGGTAACGCGGGGTGCTGTGGGTGCAGCCAGGCCTTTAGACGCAATCACTGGGGAAGAGGTGAGGACAAGGGTGGACGTCGGAGGCCGTGTGCACAGGTGCTCAGCACCCACAAATACACGCAGGCTAAGGCGCAGGGCGGAGGGGGGAGGGGAGAGGACGGTCTTACCAGATCTATGAACGTCAGGAATTTCCAGCTCCCTCCGTAGGTCTGGTGCGAGGGCATTTCGATGGCCTTGTAGTTGCACAGGATTGAGCAGTAGGACAGCAGAATCGCCACCCGCAGCACCTGACAGGGGACAAGCGCCATGTTCGCCAAAGGCCTGGGCTGCAGGGCGGCGAGCAGGCAGGCCGGGAGGCGCAGGGTGCGCGGTGGGAAGCCCGGAGCGGCGGCTGCGGGGCGGGGCCGGGGGCGGGGCCGAGCGGGGCGCGCCCCGCGGGACCGGGCGGCTCGGGCGCCCGGCGACCTGCGCGGGCGGGGCGGCGTGTACGGGCACTACCGGCGGCCGCTGCCAAGGCGGCGTGGCGTCAGCTCTTTCGTCATCTCCGTCATTGTGTTTCTGCGTTCTCGGGCCCCGGGAGACCGGACGGGGGCGCCCCCTAGGCGTCCCGGGAGGGTGGGGGGTCCTAGAGAGCGAGTGGGACTCGGGAAGGGCGCGCCGCGTTGCGGGGATCGCTACGGGTGACAACAACGGGATTGGCCGGAGGAACCCCACTTTGAAGGGGACCCCAGGGTCCACCAGTGTTCCAGGGGGGACTTCGGTGAAAGTCCTTGCGGTTCCGGTGGGACAAACAGGGTGCTTGGTGGAGGCGTGAACATGGGGTGTCAACCTGAGCATGGGTAGAACGACTTGCTTTATTTTGGACCCAGTTGGATTTTTAGTGTTAGACTCCTGTTCATCACCGTGGAATTTCTTTATAAATTCTATCCCTGTAGATAGACTTCCCTGCACTTTCCACCTGAGGTTTATAAACATCCTATTAATACTTAAGAAGACAGACTGTGAACTTGGGACAAAGAGGTTTCTGAACAAAAGGTTACACGGAAAGAAAGTGTCAAATAGCTTTATGCTACAAGACTGCATTCTTAAAAACAAATCATTCTGAATTTGGATGTACAACCCGTATGTGTAATTTAATACTAATCTTTTCAGGGTTAAACTGGTCTTGCCCTTTTGCTTATTTATTTTTTCCTACACTGCACATCTAGGGCTTAATAGAAGGAAAATAAATATAAACTGGATTCCCTTTGCCTTCCAGTAAACGTTGTCACATTGGAGTTTCATCAGTCTGTGGGCAGCGTGATCACATTTCAGCCAACCAGATGCAGGGGCAAATTATGAAAAGACAACATAGGCATTTCCTGTAGATCCATTTAAAACAGGTGTCCTCTCCAAATAGTCTCTGAGTCAGAGATTGTGGAGGGAGTGGGTAGGGAAAGCCAGTGTGAGATAAAGAGAAAGTCAAAACTCATAAATGTTTGCCGGAAATTTTGCAGTCAAGCTCTAAACCAAGTAAATTAAGAAACCCAGTAGATTTTTTAAATTGGCCTTATAATTATGCTACTAGAAATAATGTCATACAAAAACCAAGATAATTCCAAGAAGATTCTACCAGCCTAAAACTATTCATTATTGATGATTTGTAGCTTCATGTAAAAATTGGGTCTATTTTTTAAAATTGTGTGTCTATGCTATATGTTCATAAGATTGGAAAAATTTAAAGTAGATCTACTGCCCTGGCTGTTGTGGCTCAGTTGGTTGGGGCATCGTCCCCTGCACCGAAAGGTGGTGCATTCAAGTCCCAGTCAGGGCACATACCCTGGTTGCAGGTTCCACCCCCAGTCCTGTGCTCACGGGAGGCAAACGATCAATGTTTCTCTATCACATCTTTTTTTCTCTCTCTCTGTCTCCCTCTCCCTTCCTCTCTCTCTAAAATCAATTAAAAAACTGTTGTTTTATTTAAAGTAGGTATACTGAATATCTGTCTTACTAGATCCTTAATAAAGTTTTAGGAGTTCATGTGATACTCCTTTAGTTTGATATGTTCTCCTAACTTACAATTTATTTTTAAATCTATATTGATGAAAGTATTATAGATGATGCTCCTTTTCCATTAATCCTCCCCTCCTTGCTCCTGCCCCTTCCTGCCTTCCCCACACTAGTTTTTACCTTACAATTTAGAAAATCATGAATGATATTTCCTTTTCCCATCATTATAAAATACAAAAATATTTTCAAAAAGCCATTTAAAATTTTGTTCTGCTTTTAGTTCTTTTTTAAATAAATAACTATAGCACTCAAAGAAACGTTTTGAATCTCTTTTAATGGGTTTGCCTGTTATTTTGTGATTGTCTAACCATGGTAAGATAGTTTTGTGGCAGTTTATAATAAAACATTTGCATAAACCTTGACTCAAATATTTTATGGAGAATGTCAGTCCACAATTTTGGGAACTTTAAAAAACATTTTTTTCTTTATTGATTTTTAGAGAGAGAGGAAGGGAGAAGGAGAGAGAGATAGAAACAGCGATGAGAGAGAACATCAATTGGCTGCCTCCTGCATGCCCCCTACTGGGGACCGGGTCCACAATGTGGGCATGTGCCCTGACCTCTAGGTGGGTGGGGCGATGCTTAACCACAGAGCCACACCAACCGGTTTGGAACTTCTTGATTATGTATGAACATGTCCACCATGTTCTTTTTGCTTTTTAGACAATATCTAATAATCTTAGTTATGTTTTAAAGGTATTCTTTGTGAAAACAATATCAATCTATACACCGATTGTGTTTTTACAGTTAGATAATACAATGAGGTGTTGCTTTTAAAACTTCACTCCGTAGAATGTAAGCCTTTTTAATGAACTATAATACATTAGTCACTGATAAGTATTCACATGAAGATTTCATATTTGAATTAAATAATACTTGTGAAGGGGCAATATCTGCACACCACTTGTTTATCTTTTTCATTCTACCACAGAATTAGTGGGGATAAAAGAGAATAGCCTTATCCAGGTGAGTTACATGGAAACATGTTTCCCACAGGAAGATTTTAAGACCCTGTTTTAGCTTCTAGTTACATGTGTTTTATTACTGTAATAGCTCTTACTCTTAGTCTGTGTGTGGGCTGAAGGTACAATTTCTTGAGCACTTTAAAAAACTGATTTTCTTCTTTTTTATTTTCTGAGGTGGAGAGTGTCTTACATGTTGGTGATGATAATCCTTGCTAATTTTGGAAATGACAGGGACCCCTGTGTCTCCCTTATGTTGTATTCCAAGAAGCCAACTTCACATAGCCATTGGTCTTTGCTTTAAAATGCAGGAGGAGTATTGTTTATGCATATCTTTACAATTTTCAGTGTTTATGCATTTGCTTCGATTATGTGTCTGCATTAGAAAAGCATTTTCTAACAATATCATTATATTTTAGCAGATCCTCCCCCCCCACACACATTTGTCTGTACCACAAGGGTAGACTTTGGGATGTGTTCTTTTGAGAGGTTTGGGCATGAGAAAAACGCCTTTGGTATCACAAAAATAATCAGCTTTAAATTGCTTATTTTTTCTGCATTACAAAAGTAGAATATTTATAATATTAAAATAGGAGAGTTTCTCATCAACCAGAGAAAACACTACAAACATATCAGCATATACTTGCAAATCTTTTTACAATATACAGGGGTGGGCAAAAGTAGATTTACAGTTTTGAGTACACAAAACACAGAGTTTATTCTTGTATTATTAATTAATTAATTAATGTAATTATTATTAACCTTGTGCCCACCCCAGTATACTTAGCTTGTTGTGACATACTATGTTTCAATTTACATCAAACAGATTGCTTTTGCTTTAAATTTAGTAAGAATATTCTATTATTTAAAGCTCTGTACAATTACGTTTAGTGATTACATAACATGACATACTATGAACATATCATATTTTGCTTAAATTTTTCTGTTATTTAGTTACTTAGGTTGTTTCCAGCTTTTTATTACTATAAATACACTATAATGCCTGCATTTTGAGATGAGAAAGCCACTTTCTTAAAGATTATTTGTAGCTTAACACCAGTTAAGAAACCACCCTTTTACAACCTAGTGTATATTTTTCACACGTGTTTATATGAATTGAGCCAAGTAGACTGCTTTTGCCATAGAAGGACATTGGTAAAAGTTTAAGATTTAAATAAAAGAGGTAGGTAAGAAATCACTCTTTTTTTCACACAACTGATGCTCATTACAGATTTTCAGAATTGCCTTCGGAATAAAACATACCTAAGTGCCAAGGCATTTGATTAGTCCGATTCTTTTCTTTTTTTTTTTTTTTGCTATTAATCAGGAAGAGTTGTTATTTCCCGGCCAGTGAGCAGCAGCTCCTGGCAGTTGGGCTAATGTTGCTGGTTACAACAGTGTTCGCCGAAATGGGCCCTATTTGCTGTAGGTAAGTCTACTCAATGAGGGGATTTCTAAATACCAGGGTTCTATGGAGAGCCACTGAGAAGTTTGAGGTGAGTCACGGTCTACATCTCACACAGATCTGAAACATGCCCTCATTCCCCCAAATCTTTCGGTGCATTCACCGGTGCTACTCGTCCCGCCTGACAGCTCCCTCTTCCTGTGTGCACAGCCAAACCCAGGACTTGGGGCAGGGTTCGCAGTCCACTCCCTCTATGGCATAGGATGTGGCTTTCCTGTTCTGAACGATCCACGTGGATGGCTTACTGGTGTTTCAAATTCTACATGTACTCGCTGTACTTGTTATTTCCTTCTCAAAAACTGTCCCCTCCACAGTGTCCCAATCTCTGGAAACTGCACAACTGTGCTGTGTTAGAAACGTCAGACAGAGGTAGATGGCCTGGAAGTGTGGCGAATGGAAGGTAATCCACTTCCCAGAATTCTTCTCAGGAAGGAGACTGTGTTTTTACTTTTTAAATATATTTTTTCTATATTGATTTTAGAGAGAGAAGGAGAGGAGATAGAAACGTCAATGAGAGAGACATTGATTGGCCGCCTCCTGCATGCCCCCCACTGAAGTTGGGGCTCACAACCTGGGCATGTACCCTGACTGGGAATTGAACTGGCAACCTCTTGGTGCATGGGTCAATGCTCAACCACTGAGCCACACCAGCCAGGCCAAGACTGTGCTTTTAGAAGAAATATGTTCATAAACTACTTTGGTGGATGGGTAACTGGTGAAGAGAGGCCTCCTAAAACATTCAAGAACAACATACATCATTGCTAAATTTCTTCTGCCCAGGGGTTGCCAAGGTCTTTGCAGAGTTTTTGTTTGGCTGAGTGGAGTCTATTCAGGAGTTTGGTATTAGAACTCACTCGCTCTGGGTAGCAGAGAAGAGGTGGACCACCACCACCAGGGGGCCTTT